GGGCACCCGCCCAGAGCCTCTTTCTAGAGCTCGTATTTATTTCCGAAACGGGCCTTTTTCCTAGCGTATATATAAATAACATACATATACATATATCATTAAGGAAATAAGCATTTCACATGAAGTATTTAAAGACATTCTGGAGAAGAAATCATCCATTTTACAGAAAGGAAATGCTGAGTCCTGGAGTTTGTAGTTGAAAAGATAAGTAGTGAATCCATGGCAGAGAACCCAGATCAGATCTCAAGAAAATGAGCCAAAAGGGGCAAAATCCTACTCTTACCAGTAGAAAATTGGCCAGTTGGCAACCATACTCCTCACAGACCCTGGCAACCTGTTCCACAAAGGGAAGCCACACTCTTGAGTGGACAGTCATGGTGCACAATATTTTTTGGTCAGTTTTGATTCTTAAGATTGGAATGGGGTGGGGCTGCCCATGTTACAAGCTTCTACCAGGACCTGATGAATGTTGCTTGTGAAACCTGGCTTTGTTACCTACAAAGCAATAAGAAGGCCTAAGAACTCTCTGTTCTTTAGAATACAGTTTCCAGACAGTGGACCCTTGACATCTGTAATGGATACAAATTCTCTTTCTCCTGTTGTGGCTTGACATTCTGTCTTTCTGCTGCCTAAGGGAAATTCTCAGAGGACATCTTTGGGGGAGGCAAATCCCTCCCCCAAGCACCCCTGTTCTCTGCTGACACTAAATGGACTGGTGGGAAAAAATGGGGTGATGGCATTCAGCAAAGCCATTTCCGTTGTCCTAACTATAAGTTATGTCACCATGTTATTGTTGGGGGAATTAAGAGTCCTGGGGGAATTAAACTTCTGGACTCTTAATTCCCCCAACAGTTATCATACAGTTTTGAGGCAATGTCACTTCCAGTTATGCAGCCAGAAATGATGCCACTATGTCATCTAAATTAGTCTCTGCCCTCCCGCCCTCCCCATCTCCTAGGGACTGCTGGCCAAAGGCTATCAAACCTACTGTGGGAAACTCTCAAGCTGGGCATGAAAACAAATGGCTACTCCTGACGTTTGTCCCCAAGAGATGGTAGATGTGTGTATGCCTGCAAGAGAAAGTCTCACTCTGCAGCTAAAAATTATACATTTTAAGGCAAAGCCTGGAAGAACCTCTTACAGTTCCCAGCAGGGAATGCAACCCTCATATCTGCAGGACTACTTCTCCTGTTATACCCCACAAGGACAGCTTCACTCATCTTCTGAGCAAAGCTTTCTCAAGGTAACATCCTGCAAGTAGGTAAGATTGATATCTGCCAGTACATGTGCATTCTCTGCTACAGCTCCAACCATGTGGAGAATGGCATGCCTGAGGTCATCAGGAAGGCTCCCACACCTCTGTTATTCTGCAAAACAGACCAGGCACTTTTATAAAGGGAATCACTTTTACAAAGGGAATCGGGACTGTATATGTTTGTATATTATCTGTTTATTGTATCTACCACCCTGCTTTCACTACATTGTTTTCCACTTCTGAAATTCCATGTTTTGCTTTGTTTGACATTTCATGTCTGATCCTTGCATTGAGTCTCAGTGAAAAAGGCAGGCTATAAATAATGTAAATAAACACTAATCAAAGTTTTAGGATTTGCAGTTTGGTGGAGAAGAACTGGAATAAGTTGCTGTACCCCTGTTTGTAACTGATCAGCTATCATATGCTAATCATAGAATCATAGAGTTGGAAGGGGCCATACAGACCATCCAGTCCAACCCCCGCCCAATGCAGGACCAGCCTAAACCATCTCTGACAAATATTCGTCTAGCCTCTTCTTGAATGCTGTCAGTGAAGGGGA